TGTGTGTGTATACGATGTATGTATAATGCGAAGAGGCAAACGTCTCGCGATGATATCAGTGATTTTTCACGCGAAAGTAGTGAGTGAGGTGACCCAGACTTCCATCGGAGCCTACTAAATAAATGCGCTGGAAGCGCGTCGAATCAATCTTAAACCGAGCTCGTGGACTGCTTCGACGATGTTCGAGGGTTTAAGTGAGTTTAAACGACGCCGTTCCACCCCCTGCCCACCACCCTCTACCAACCCTACGCGACGATGTGTACATACATATACATATACGCCAGTGTATGAAATATTATTGCGACATTCACCATCGAAGACACGGAAGAGACATTTTCAGAGGGTCGTGATTCCGGGGGACCGGTACCCATTTTTCTGAGATGGGCTCGAGGGGCGTATCCTATCGGCGCGCAAATTAGGCCGTGATATTCCTTTCAAGAAGACCCGGTTGAAGTTTCATGGACACTAGCGGATGATAAGGCTACATATTCAATGATCTTTAAGAAGGCCGCCGAAAACAAATCGGGGGTCGGAAAATTGTCGAAAATGAAATTCCAAAACCCCATTTAATAGAGCGGAAATTTCGCAAGTTTTCGAAAGTTTCCCTAGCACGGAATTTCTATCGGAGTCTTTCAACCTGCTGTCGGCAATTAACGTACCGTGTCTCGAGTGAAACTTCGGCCATCAACCAGAGGGCAGGCGAGGGTGGTCGCGCCTGCTGGACTGTTAGCGGTCGGGACGGGAGGGAGGGATGGGTGAAAGTAAAGAGTTTAAGCACCCCTTAATTCGTAAGACCTATCCTCGCGAGACGTGGGAACCGAAAGGGATGTCCAGCGAAAAGTTTCGAGGTGGGTAGGAGAACGACGCCTAATCAGATCAATTTTTCGATAATGAACCCGTTGTTCCTCCCTCTTGTACGAAGACCTGGACAGTTTCGGCCACGGAGGGGTGGGGGGTGAACGATAAGGAAACCTGGAGGCTGGTGTGGGGCGGCTTGTCGAGAGGAGTCTGTGTTTTAAAATGCTGTCTCGAAAAGTCGTTAATGCCTTTAGAGCGTCTTCGTGTTTTCTGGATATCCGATGACCGGGGAGAACCGACAGGAGGGGGTGAGGCTGAGGGAGAGAGGATGTGTCAGAAAAATCGAAAGACTTGTTCGTCCACCTTTTTCTTGTTCTTCATTCAACATTCCCTCTTCGCTGTCTGTGGATTCCGTACCACATTTTCAATCTGTATACCAGAAAACATATTTCTAATCTAATAGTTCCACATCGAAACACGTTTTAACCCTTAAAACAATTCCTAATCGTGCAATCCTCCACACATGATTGCTGGCTTAATCGGTGGTTTTTGTTGTAAAAAAATTCGACCGACAAGAAGAGTTTTCTCGTGTTCGTACCAGACCAAATGGGAAGGGGGGGGGGGGGGGTTGAACGGGGGAATGATGGGGTGAGGTGAACTCGAATTTTCGCGGTCGCGGATCAAAACACCCGACGAACAACGGCGGCGGGCGGTGCGATATTGTTGGCGGTGGCAGGTGCTTGACAAGAGTCAGCGAACCGCGGCCTAGAGTCCCCCCTCTCCTCTCCACGCGATATCTCGAACCGAGCTCGCATCAAAGAGCACGCGTGTACGATAGCAATTAATTTCATTAGTAACGAAGTAATTAGTTCGAGCGACGATGCATCGCTATCGTCGATATACATACGTGTGGGCGGCCCCCCTCCCTCGTTACTCGAAAGAGTTGCTTCTGGAGTCCTGACTAGGAGGATCTTCGACCTTCCCGATGGGAAATGGTGGAAGTCGAACTCTATGGTACTGAATAGTGTTTAAAATAATTTCAGAAAATATTTGGTACAAACAACGTGAGGGTGCTCTACTTTGAAATAGAATCCTGGATATCGGAGGAGCTTCTAGCTTCACTTTCACAAAACAAATTCAAGACTCCAGCAGCTTCAACCCTGTACGCAATTCTGTGTTGGTAGAAAACGAACTAGAAAACGAGCCTTTTATCCTCTCCAACCCCCGGAAACGCAACTTTCCTCCGGCGTCCAATCAACTCCCCGTTTCCCTGAACACTCCCGGCTGAAAACTTTGAAAAAAAAAAAACGCCCCCAAAATCTAAATCGGCCACGTATAAACGGTCCTTGAAATCAGCTCTGCCGTAGAAAAACATTGTGGAATAAAGAAAACGAACGCCCCCCTTCCCCTGAAAGCCCGATGATAGTTCCTATCAACTGCGCCAAATCCAAAAAAAAAAACAACAAAGATGAAGAAAAAAAGGGACAAGAATAGACCACGAAAGGAAAAAAAAAGAAGGAAAGATACAAAACCATGTCGGTGGGGGAGTACAGGGATCGACAGGGGTTGGGAGTGGAGAGATCGATCGGCGTCGAAGCGGAGCATTCACGACTAAAGTCGGACGAAAAACGTCGGAGTCACGGCGAAGTAGCGAGGAGAGTGTATGTATATACGCGACGCGAATAACGGGGGTAATCTCGCTACTCTTCCGTCGCTCATTCGAATCCCACGCTAAATTTCAATCTGACGTGTACAAAAGTCTCGAGCCCTTTCCCCACCCCTACCTTCGATTCAGTTCCTCGTGACACAGGGAACGGGACTCGTGCTCGAGGCAACGGTCCATTTCTGCGATCTTCTGTCCCCATTCCATCAACCATTTCACCCCCCACCCTTCCAACCCCCTGGTGTACATCCTCGATGCACACGTGTGCACCAGAGTCCATTTGAATATAGCCAGTCGAGCGGGCGCGCGCTCTCCAGTACCTTGCCGGGCAAAAGTTTCTGCGATCGGTGGGGGGAAGGGTGAAATGGGTGTGTACAACCTCAAACTCATTAGTTTCGATTTCTTCGAACGGTCAGTTCGATCTGTAACGATGTTTTAGGGTATATATCCACGCTGACCAAACTGCGGCTCCCGTATACTTGCACAATATTTTTTTCACAAATTAAGTTTCAAAAAATGTTGATCCTTCAGCTGAATATACGAGCTGTTAAATTTTTATTCCAGACCACTGCAAGCGTATAGGTCAAGACGGGTTTCGTCTATCGTGCCATGTAACTTTTGGCCAATGGTGTACGTGTAGGGGGTGCGTATGTATGCCGACTAGAGAGGGCCACCACCCCCTCCCTCCCCCCCTCTAGCCGGTGGAGGTCCTTTTAAGCCAAACCATCCCCTTCTGACGGCGTATATACGTGCCCCTCCCTCATCCCCCTCCTCTCATGGGCGTCCATTTCCCTCGATACAGACCCTGGCAATCCTTGATGTATCGGCTCGCGTATACACGGAGCCGGGACACAGCACAACGTCGCGGTGCACAGCGTCGAGGCGCACCTAATTAAACTTCGCCGAACGCGCGGCGGCAGGGAGAGCACGTTAGACTTTCATTCGGTCGGTGGCTTTTCTTGCGTCCAACCACCACCCCCCTTTTTCCCGCCCCCGTCCAACGTCGAATCGAACGAGCTTCCGGGCTTCTTCCGCGAATTGCGCCGGGGAGGGTGGATTTTTGAGCCCTGTATCCGGCCGACTGATTTTATTCCCTATCCTCCACCCCCACCAACCCCCTTCATCCTCTAGGCGTTCCAACCCCCCATTCAACGACTCTTCTGCGTCGTTTTCTATTAGGAGACGGCCAGGGAAAAATGAAAGTTCGTGATTTCGTCGGGCCCTCGTCCCACACTCCCGATCCCCCCAGCCACGGGACGCAGGAAGTTCCCCTTTTTCGGGGGACTCTTTGGGAAATCGTTCGTCAAGAGTTATTCGAATTTCGGAAGTTCGCGGCTGGAAGTCGGGGGGGGGGGTGCGAATTTATAAGAGGCTCTGGCCTTACGTCGATGGGTAGGGAGGAGAGGATTATTTGTTGGATCTTTACGGTGAATAATGGAATTCCACGATTGGAAAACACCGCGCTCTCCTGGTCCCCGATACGGCTTCGCATTAATTCAGAGCATTCTCCCATATGTGACGGGTAAGTAGATATAAAACGGGGGGTGGGGGGGGGTGCTATTAATTAATTCAATTGTGCCAGGTAGACTACGGGGATCGTAGGTACGTTCTAGCCGTAGCCCTGAATCCAAAACCGGTGAAGTCTCGAATTAAAATTTTTCTGGCAGGAACCTACGAAAATTCCGAGCACAGACTTTGAAAACCGCGAATAATTTTGCTTTGGAGGGAATACTTGAATTTCTCAACCAAACACGCGGAGATCTGCTTCGGTGAAACTACGTATCCTTGCTGACAAAAGTGAGATGTATCAACCGGCGAAAGAATAGAAAGCAAACCCGAAGTATATCCACGTAGGTACACATAAAGAATTAACGAGAATCGTGTGAGAACTATACATGCCTTGGTTCCCCCGAAAAATGCACACCCTATCCTTAACTCGCACGCAGTTTCAGCGGAAAGGGATGGGGATAGGGGGCGTCTACCCTCGAGGAAATGCTCGATCAAACATTTACAAGAATTTACTTCCGTAACGGTTGAACGATCGTCTGGAAGGGTTCAGAATGGCCGTATTAAGGGCGCAATCGCTTGTTCCGCTTTGTTTTTTGGCGGATGGAGGGAGGGCCTCATTAAGGGCAGCTACAGAGGGTGTAACCGATGTAACATCTAACGAAAGATGGGGGAGGGGGCTAATCGATTGTTTTTAATTGCATTATAATTCTAGCGGTCGTTAAAAGTCACTAGGGGAATTCTCGCGCGTTTCTAAGGGTGTATCGCTAAGTAAGAGGGTTGCGCTTCTATCTTCTCTAGAGAGACAGACAACTGGATATTATAAAATGGGGTACCGATTAGTAAGCGTGTTTGACAGTAATAGGCGACCTGATTCTGTTTTCAATATTTCTTTTTTTTTTTGGCAGGGGAAACACAGCAAATGATTGCGTTAACATACAATTCTCATTTGGTTCATCGTCTACACGGCACGGAGGTATAAGAACGGTGAATTTAATTAAGATATTAAAAAGTGATGTAATTTTGATATTACCATATGAGTTGTGAAACGGTTGGTGATGAGTCTCGAGACCGGTTCCTGGGTGGTGGATATCCAGCATGGCATCCGGCTCGCCTCCGCTCTCAGAGCAGTTGCTCAGGGCTAAAACCAAACCGATAGACACACACCTTGCGTTTAAACTTCAAATCAGTTTTCAAATGACGGCGATCCGTGTGTTAATTCCGCGGAATACCCTCGCTTATAATTTCTTTCGCGTCTATCCGGCCCGTCCTCTGGATTTCTCGACACGGCCTCCTCTCTCCTTTCCCATTTTTTTTTTGTTGGTTATCGCTCCTTTCGATTGCTTTTCGCGTCTAAACGATCAACTTGTACTGTGTAATTCTAAACACGATTCACGTGATCTGCTCGTAAACAATCTCGAACTATCCAAGCTTTTCGCGAAAATATTCAAATTTTCAACTTTTAAAGGTTTCAAAATACACACCGAACATATTTCGAAGAATTTCGAATTCACAAAATATAGTATACTGAAATATCTTTTTTTTTTTTGCACTTCTAGAACAGTGTCGATTATCTCAAAAGCGGTTAGAATGCAAAACGAGGATCTACTCGTGTGTGGAAGCACCGAAAGTCCCCCTTCCGAGTAACCACCAAGCAAATCGAAGTAAAACGGCAATCTGAACATAACGGGACAACGCGAAATTAATCCCTAGGATCCTATAATTTGTTCCGAAGTAGTCCGGGGGAAAGGAGATGGCCTACCGTGAAAATCATCGAGAGGCAAACGTGGCCGTTTTATTTCTCTCTGTTCTCCCCTACTCCGTCATTTGGAGTCGAACCGAGGCGCGCGCGTTTTTTTTTTCTTTTTTTTTCTTTTTTGTTTACGTGACGACTTCGTTCTCCGTTTCTTCGTTCGCGGTTACGAACAAACTGAACAAAACCGGCGAAAAGAGGAGAAACGTGCCGTGAAAGAAATCATAAAACACAAAGCAGGGGTATGTCACACGTGTCCACTTAAAAGGTAAATTCATAACTTATACGATAGAAACTATAAACCGACCGTGGGACAGACAGCGTCTTCGGGCCTGCGAATGTGCGTCTATCATTTTTTAAAAAGACCGCCCTTTTTATTCTCTCGACTCCAGCGAAAAAATGAACCGTAAAAATCTCTAAATCAGAAACATTCGACTGAATCTATCTTGAAACGAAACGTACGGAACCAAGTTCCACGTGGTCCACGGGATATCTATCGTGATAAGTTAAAAGAGAGAAAAGAAAAACAAACGTTTCATTCGCAGTCGTTTTCGGTACACGAGCAACACATCGCAAACGATACGCTCGATCGACGCCGCGTCCGGGAAATTCAAAACGAATCTCTCACGTCAGCCGAAGTCGCTGTCCGCTGGAAAACGGTCAACAAAATACTACATACGCTAAAGAAAAGGTGTAACCAAACAGGGAAGCAAACGTAACCATACAGGACAGTGGAGATTAAAGAAACAACAGAAAAGAAGAAAAAAATACATATACTGGTTGTGTAGGAGGGGATGGAAGTAAAAGGGATTCGGAAAGGGGGAATGAAAGAAACGCGGAACGAAACCATTTCCGGCCGCGAAACCCGAGTTGTTGTCCCCCCCGAGGAATTTTCTCGCGAACGAAGTCGATGGTGCGTGTCTTTTGTCTATCCGTTTGGCTGGTCGAGAACTCTGGACAGCAGTTTCCAAAAAGAACCGTGGTTTCCGAGTTGTTTTGCAACAACACGAACCCCCGAGGAGACGATATCGATTTCCCCTGGTTCACGATGCCTCAAAACCACCACCGAGGGGGGGTGGAATGGTCGGTCCTCGGTAACGGTCCGCTTCTCTGCGATCTTCCGTGTAGATTTCCGGTTGACGATAGTCTTCGAGCGATGACGGGTCGACTGACACCGTACGTTAAACCCTTATTCCGAGGGGTTGAGAACGAAAGGAGTAGGGGAATGCATAGACGCATCTCGAAGACCAGAGTTTTTTAACCGCAAATAGAATGTTTTTTTGTGGGGGGGGGCGATGGAACGGTAAATGTATCGGAAGAAATGTTATCTCTCGAAGGTCATCCCAAAGGCAATATTATAAACCACTGGAAATTCTGTTCGGTCTCATTTCTTGTCTTTTTCTTGGGTGTTTGTAACTGAAAACGTAGGAATCATGTATTTGTTTTACACGTTATGTTGTCGTCGAGGAAATCTTAATCGGAAGGATTTAAGATTGATCGTTCGAACGGATCTATTTTGTCGCTCTTCCTATCTCGGAACAATCGGCCAGAGAAGTTTTTAAATCTCCATTCTATCGGACGAGCAGATTGTAAATTATGTCTCGCGCTCCCCCCCCCCCTCCTTCCCTCGATATCGAGTGAATTGAAAGGTACCCTGTCATCCCCCTCTGCGTCACGAATGAACGTCCCGAATAATTTCAGGGGCCGGTTTTTGAATAATCGTTCGGATATTCGGTTTAAAACGATTATGGTAAAGTTGTAAATTATTCCGAGCTCCAGCCACCAACCCGGAGGGGGTAAGGGAAGGTCGAAGGAACCTCCACTCACACCTAAGGAGAGAGAGAACGCTTAAAGGGGGGAGGTGGGATCTACGTTCGAGATGGCCCGTTCATATTTCTCGCTAAGAATGTCTGTAAATATTCTGCACAAAACCCCTCCAGACATCAAACGGAGAGAACACGCTCTCTTGTTCGATTTATCAAACCGAAGATCGATCGGAAAATCCATAAAGTATCCGAGAACGGGTGAATAATGTCGAGGTTCGAAAGTGTCACCAGAATTACCTAGCAATTCATAAAAGAACCCCCGTGGAATACTTCGTGTATTAAATTATTCGTATCACCACATGTTTATAAGAAAAGGGGCAAGGAGAACGAGACGTTGAAGGGTGTCATAATAACATCCCCAAGAAAAATCTATATAACACTCTACAAACGACCGAAAAAGACAACACGCGTAATCCTCTGTTCGGTGTTCACAAATTATCCAACTGCGAGGGCGTGTGTGTGTACATATATGGTACATTAAATGGAACGAAAAACGTATCAGGGTGAAAAAGAAGAAGGGAAGAAACGTTACCTCCGAAGGGGGAAGGGGGTTGAACACGAAAGTCTCTCCAGTCGAGTTCAAAGTTCTAATAAGCCCATCATGAAATGTTCGTATAATCAAGCGCGCGCGTTAACGGAAAAAAAACACGGGGGAAAAACAAGCGAACAGCCCAGCGGCCTCAGAAGGATTGAGGGTTCGAGGTTCCTGTTTTTCTCTCTTTCTTTCCATTTTTTCCCCTACTCCCCTCCCCCGCGCAGACGGTACCAGCCTGTACACACGCGAGTCACGTACGTAACCAGTAAACGGAGCGACTGATGTGTATGCCCTCGTAACAGTAAGCCGGTTCCCACTGAGGAGAACCCTGTTCACCTACGTCTAACAGCGCCGGAAAAGAGGGTAGAAAGCGAGATAGAACGCGCGAGGCGAACAAGGTGAAACCGAGTGAGACAGAGAGAAGAAGAGAGACAGAGAGACTTTGTATGCCGTGTAGTAGTAATACGTGTTTCCGTAGCGGTGTGCATAGACGTATACCGCATGCATGACGTGGAGGATGAGTCACGCTCCCGTGGAAAGCAGTTTCAGGGAGAACTCATCACGAAACTTTCCGGAAATATTTGTCCTTCTTTTTTTCCCCCCACACTCCCCCCCCCCATCTCCCTCGTAGAATACTTCGGACATAGTTGGAACTTCCACCGCGGAAAAAGGCGCGCGGTGGTCTTCGGTTACTTTTCCTTTCTAGTTTCTCTGCTTCGACTGTAGTGGAGAGAGGGGGTGGTTATTACGCTGTGTTGCGACAATAGTTTGTTTTCAAAAGGTTTGTATTAGCCTATTTTTGTCGAACAGTGGACACCTTCGATCATAACCGCGGGTGTGTGAGAAGTTCGTTTATCCGGTAACGTGATTTTGGAGAACTAGGGGGTGAAGATGTAAAATTTCACAGCTGTTCGACTATGGAAGCATGAGTAACGGGGAGGCAATCGACAGCGGAAACGTTTCTGTGCATACGATGGTAGTACTTTGCGTAATTTTTTTTTCTTTCTTTTATTAACACTTTGATGTCGAATGACGTAGTAGTACGTCTTTCGAAAGTTAAGAACTAGAGTAGTAAAGAAAGTTGAATAAAAATTAAATATCACCCTTTTTTTCAGGCCACTAAAGGGGATAGGGCCTTAAGTTGTAGCTTCTAAATATTTTTCGAACACCTGAACGTTGTATATTTGCTTTTCTTTTGTTTTTTTTTTTTTGCATTTCTGACGGAATGATACGTTTCTATGTGTGCACGACGATGTAACAAACGAGAAGAAACAAATGAAGAAGAAACCCGCACGCGTTCGTCGAGGGATTCCTTTCCATCGGTCCGCTTATGCGTTTCTCGTTAACGTTTATATCGTGGCTACGCGCGTACCGTCGTTCGAGGAGAGGCAAACGCACAGGGCTTATCGTAAAACATACCAGTGTCACCTTTCGTTTATCAACGACCTGCACTGAAGTTTAATTCGAGCCGAACGAGTTCGTCGTCGGTCTTTTAGCGCGGCCGTGACAATGCCACGCCGTCGAGCGAACAATCGATAATTCTTCTTCGATCATCGGTTGCGCGAGGGGACTAACAAAAATTACGATCATTCCGGTGAACGATTATTCACCTCGATCAGTTCGTGGAAATAATCCCGAATGTCCGGAATACACAGAAATATTCCAATAACAACTCACAGAAATATTCGCAGTTACGATGATTGTGACCATTCTTCGTGATCTTATGTATACTGTCACCTCGAACGAATCATACTAGTGCAAGCAATCGTACCGGAAAAATGTTCTTTCGAGAAAACGGAAACTTTATTCGTGATTCTTCGGCTGGTCGTTCTATGCCGAAAACGAAGAAACTCGAATTTTCAACCGTTCCCATCTTCCTTCTCCCACCTACTTACTCCGTTGAATTGAAAAATCATACGGATAGATCTTGGGGTGGATCGTGAGAGGAACAATTTTCGCGAAACTGCTCGGAACACAGAGAATTTCGAGGAACCCCGAGACGGGGTTGCAGAAGACCACGGAAAGAC